CAAGCCAGATACCTATTAAAAGTTAATGGAAGAATTCAGAACCTCATAAAAAGGTGTAGAAGAGTATCCTGTCCTGCATCAAATCACCGTGTGTGGTATACATTACATGTCTGACAGGATGGAAATTATGCCTATAAAAGACTACCAATACATTAAAGTACAGATATTCACTAGCTCATACATCCAGAATATATAAGGCACTTTAATGTCAGAATTTTTGGTGAGAACACTATCAAATGTAACTGAAGGCCTTATTATTAATGCTTTCTTGTCAGACCTAATTTATAAGAGATGCAGGTGCAATTTTTCTGATGTTCAAAGAAATTTAGGTTTCTCCTAGTACACTCCTCAAAAACCAACCAGCTTAGACCAAATATGCAGTCACAGTACCTCCTCACTTCCAGGTAGCAAAATCTGTATTAGTAAGAAGAAGACTCAGGTCTTCTTTGATCATTTACAGAAAAGCATAGGTTTCTGGCCATTTTACCTGTGGGTGGGGCTCACAACTTGGCAGCTGGTTTCCCACAGGGCAAGGCCTTGGAAGAAGGGACAGAATTTGAGAGAGTCTGTTCATAACTTCATTTGAAAAGTGGCAGCTCATCACTTTTGTAGTATTTTATTCACTAGAAGTGAGCCAGGCATGGTGGTGCATGCTGTAATCATGAACCAGGAAAAGCTGAGAAGCTGAGGCACGAGAATTGCAAGTTCAAGTCCACTCTGGGCACCCTAGAGACTTACCAAGACCTCAAGTCTCAAAAAAAAAATGTAAAGTGCTGGGATATAGCTCAGTAGGAAGGCCCTGGGTTCCATCTACAGAACCAAAAAGCAAGAGTCACAAGGTCCATTCTTCACTGAAGGATGGTGGGGTTCATTACTCAAGAGAAGGTATTTTTAAGGAGGTTGCAGTCATAAGGATTCATTTTACAAGCCACCTGCCACAGTGATCTTCCCATACTAAAGGACCTGTCACTCACTTCTACTTGCCCAGGAGTTCCACAAAATTTCTAGATGAATGGCATTTAATCCCAGTGCTTCAACTACATCTAGATTGTTAACTAAATCTAAGCTATTCAGTCTATAGAGTATAGTAAGTCTATGTAAAGGGGAGATCTAACTACGTCTAGAAGGTAAGTAAAGATGTCTTTGAAGAAATGAATTTTAAGCTATGACCTGAAGGACAGCATAGTTAGTGATACCTGCCTGGAGGTGTGTACGCAGGAAGAAAGAGCCGAATTCTAAAACAGAAGAATCATATTCAGACCACACCTGCTGCTTCCATCCACCTCTTTCTGCCTCATATTCATCTTTTATAGCATGATCTATTAACCGATTATTCTAATTGTAGAACAGATCCCTTCATTTTGAAGTGGAGGGGATGAAAAGGCTCCAAAGCAGAGAAACAAAGTAAGAAAAAGCTGTTTCAATGTGCTCCTCTGTCTTTGCTTGGGAAAGATAATATACAGGTGTATGAGTGAGTCCAGGGAAAGGCACTGGCACTGGACTCTCTTTTTTTTCTACTGAGGATTAAATCCAGGACCTTCGCACTGAGCCACATCCCCAGTCCTTTTTAATTTTGAGATAGGATCTCGCTAAGTCACTAAATTGCCAGGCCAGGTTCAAACATGGGATCCTCTTGCCTCAGCCTGCCAGAGTGCTAGGATTGCAGGCATGTGCCGCTACCTGCTATAGGGTTAATCAAATTTCACTTCAATTCAGACAATAATATAAAGCCAAACTATCAAATAAGGGAGCTGCTGAAAATCACCATCAAAATCCTGAATGGAATTAAAACAAAAGAAAGCAAACATGAAGAGTGGCCAGTCTACAAAAGAGAAAAGGAGTCTTAGACAAAGGTAGAAAAGTTACCTAGGGTAAGGGAAGTCCAGTGTTCTAGCATCTTCTTGTATGCATTTTCTGGGCAAACTTTGTATATTTCAGATGTGGTTGGTATCTCTGTTTCCCTTTAAATGTAGTTTGCAGGTAAAATTCTAGCACAGGCCTCCTACTTACAAAGTTCTGACAGAAAGAGATGTGTGTATTGACAGTCCGTGTAGTTGAAAAGAGAAAGTATACACGTGAAAGTTTTTTCATTTCTACTGACACATAGGCCTCCATCTTGGAGTATAAAGGGTACAGACATACTTGCTTAATGGCTGCTTTTTGATATTCAATGATAGAACCCACATTTATATACAGAGAGAGAGACTGATTATATATATAATATATATATAGCTTGAATATATATATGGATATATATATATATATGGAAAAGACCAACAAATTAAAAAATGGTCTTTGTCACACTGTCGACTCATGTAGATCACTCCACAAACTGCAATAGTCATTACTATATGATCTTATATTGTTTCTGTCTATCTCTTAGAACCAATTCAGTATTTTTCAAGGATATTTAATTTGACAAATGCACACCATACTGTCAGATTGGCCTGTCTGGTTTCATGTGTATTCAGTCATCACAATTTTGTTGTATGGTTTAACATAGTCTCAGGATAATCTCAATACATTTATGTGGCCCATCCTGTTTGTAATTGTATGACTTTGGATCGCCTTAGAAGTTTTTTATTCATCCAACATACATTCATTTTTTTTTATGTATTTTTTTTTTTTGGTACTGGGGATCAAACTTGGGACCTCCCATTTACAAGGCAGGCAGTGGCACCACTGAGCTAAATCCCTGGCCTATTGAGCTGTTATTTTTTATGTGCTAGGAATGTTAGATTCTGAAACTACAAAGATAAACTGGGCACAAGCCATGTCATTTACTCAGACCGTTTCCTCACAGTGGAAATAAATAATTCATTGTTTGGGGGCCATTCTTCATCAAGTTTTCTGGCTGGAGTGTTTTGCAAATGACTTCCATATTCCTTACTATCTCCTGAGTGTGACTCTGTAGACCAGTTGACTAATACTGGTCTTATTTACATTTTGGAAACAACAACAAGAAAACTATCAGTTTTAGCTCCCCAATCATGTCATCAATGTGTCAGAGAACTTGTCAAATTCATTTAACTTACTCAGTAGCAACTACATTATGAGTAGATTGTAGCTATTACAATCTACTCAAAATGTAAAATACTGTCAGTGTTATACAGATCATGACACCATTTCCTAAGTTTTCCTTCCATCTTTGTGCAGCAAAGTCTATCAGCTAAGTTCTGAAGTTTTCCTCCACTCCACCTCTGCACCCTAAAGTCGACACCACATCCAGGAAAATCTCCTGCATTCTCTTTTGAAATCTGATTCTGAACAATTGAACTACTACTGTTTCTCACACTTAAGCCTATGTTCTCTTAGTGTTTCCAGGGTTTTGCTCTTGTTTTTGTTTTTCACATTATTGATTCCCGTTTGGGCCCTTATCTAACCCTATGGATCTGACAGTCTGCACCAATGTAGCCTGGGGTTTTCCCTAACTATTCTGTATCAAGCTGGTTTGACTGGGCATACTTCCTAATAATTCCCTTCTTCCTCTGGGCTGCTCTTGGAACAACTGAAAGATCTGCAAAATATTTATTGCCAAGTTGCCCAAAGTGTGTTCCATGAAAAGGAAATTATGAGGGAGTTAATATCTTACTCAGAGTAAATGACTTTCAGAGTTAAAAATATTTATCCACAACAGCAGCATCTAATAATGTACATTATAAATATTAAAGAGGAAGATATGCATGCTTTTGTTTTCAAAGTATTAAACATGAGGACATTCTCTTTCCTGATGGACTAGTGGTACCAAGAGGATTCTTCTTTTACAAATGTTGGTAATACATGGCTTTACACTCCGTAAGTTTATTGTGGATTGGATGATGCTTGATTGACAATATAGGATTGTAATGACTCGGAAGTTTACCCAGATGTATTGGCCAGCAGTTGAAAATATAGAAATGCTGTGGCAATCACTTAAGTAGTTCTTTGGTATGAAAATGGAGCTTCTCAATATTGAGAAGTTTTTTCAAAATTATGTTGAAGATTTTTGTGCTTACCTGAATACCTTGCTTAGATATATTAGCAATTCTGGTTTCTGATCACTACAATACATTTCTATAAAACATGAAAATATAATCATTTCTGATGTCTGGAATAATAATTTCAGTGGATCTTATACAAAGTTTCACATATCATCATTTGTATTTTAATAAAATAATAACAGAAACAAGTCCTTTATATATAACATCTAATTTTTCCACAAATTTCTTTTGGCCCAGAAAGTTTTAATAAAGATTTTCTTCACATTGTATCACTATGGTGAAAAAGTAAAGGAGGCTACTGTTTAATTTCAGAACATGAATAAATTCTATAGATGGATAAATCTCTAATTTTAATCAGAGCAGGGGATCATAATAATGAAGTGAAAAATTTCAAGTCCATACAATGTCTTAGGCCAGAGGGAAAACATGTCCTCTCTTAAGGATCTGCTCTGTCAGAACACTTCATGCTATTAAAAATCTTTCACTGTTTATTTTATCTAGTATACTGCTTCCTTGAAAAACAACCAACTCAGAAAGTAATTCAAAGGTTAGTTACAAGATAAACTAATAGCTATGCTAAACTATCACTTCGTAGAGCCAATAAAAAGGAGATAAACCATATTATTTCCACAATCTATACGGTCAGGCCCAACAATGCCAAATCAATAATAAAATATTTTTATTTAAACTTCCCCTCCTTTCTTCTTTCTTCTTATGAAATTTTATCTGAACAGGGAAACCTCCGTGGAATGTACCAGAAACATAAAAAAGTGAGAGTGGACAATGTAATAAATGTTTTATTTTGGTTTGTTAATAGATGGTGGAGTTCAGTTCACTTGTGGTTTGACCTTATTCCAGTTCATAGGTGATGTTTCTTAAGTACAGCTTTCATATAAGGCCAGCCGTCTGAAACTTCTGCACTCACTCCAAGGAAACAGATTTACACACACACAAACACACACAGTAATTGCAATATAACTTTATTTCATAGATTTTTTCACACTACAATTCAAATCCGATGTCCCCAAACATCATAATAGCAAGTATAAAGAAAGGTCTGATAAAATCCATGGTCCCATTTATGTTCTCCCTAGACTTTCCTCAGAGAAAAGGTTTAATATGTTTTACAGTATTAATGTTAATAACAAGCTAATAATGAATGATAAACAGTTAATCTTTATTGCAGTGATTCTCACCGAAGCTACCCATTAAGATCACACAACTATTCATATTCAATCAGTTTGGAGCATGAACTGGGCAGCCATTGTTTTTGAAGTTCCACAGTTGTTTCTGGTGAAAAAAAAAAAATAAGGTTAAAAACCACTGAATTAATAAAACTTGTGTGTGCTGAGCCCAGTGCTAACTGACTTACCTTGATTATCTCATTTAATTGTCATTGCTATATTGTCTAATTTTATTATTTTTATTTCACAGATAAATATACCAATGTATAGAGGTTCAAAAACTTGTTCAAGTTTCCCAGAGCTAAGATTTAAATCTGGATTGCTTATCTGTGTGTGAAAGTAAATACATTATTCTGTATTTTTATCATATAATTCTTCAAATAAATAAATAACAGGGCTAAGACAAAATTAAAATGAATTAATAGAAATTAAAATATCAAATGGCCTTTCCAAACAGACTCCTTCTAAACAGTTCTGCATAATCTACTCTGACCTCCCTCCAATCTATTCTCAACCTAAGAGCACCATGATCATTTCAGAAATCAAGCTGTCTGAGGAACCAAGGGCCTGCGTCCTAAACCCCACAGGGTCATGTCTAGTTTTGCTCCCCAATCCCACCCATGTATCTCTATTACCATCATGGTTCCTAGTGAACCATGAGGAGGATCCACAAATATCTGTTAAGTAAATAAATGACATCAATCTCTGCCTGCCTGCCTCCTGTTCCTTCAAAACATCTCCTGGTTCCCAGCTCTAGCTCCTCTCTGACAGGCCTGCAGATCTCCTGCAACAAAGTTTCCAGGTTTTTAGTCAGCACTTACACCAGGCTTGATTCGCCAATCACAGCCGAACCGACCATTCTGATTTCACTCTGGGAACTTCAGGTTGTTCTCTGAGCAGACCTCGCCACCTGCAACAGAGGAAAATTGGGGCCCAGTGGTCCTTTTCCAACATGGACTTCTAGACGCTTCTGCCTCCCTGTGTCCTGTGGTACTGTGGTTTGTATTTGAAATGTCTCCCAAAACACATGTGCCATAGGCATGGTTGCCAGATAATGGGCTTTTTAAGAACTGATTGGATCAGGAGGGCTCTGACTTTTTCAAGTGGATTAATCCATTGTTGAGATCATAATTGGGTGTTGGGAAGTGATGGAAACATTAGGTGGGCCTAGCTGAGAGGAAGGGTCATATGGACATGGCCTTGAGGACTGCATCTGGTCCTTAGCTCCTCTATCAGTCTGTCTCTGTCTCTCTCTGTCTGTCTCTGTCTGCTTCTCCCCCAAACCCCACCCTCTCTCTTTTCCTGGCTGCCATGAAATAAGCAGCTTTCCTCCACCAAGCCCTTCTGCAATGCCAAGCAGGGGCCAAAGTCTCGGAAATTGTACCCCAAAATAAACTTTTCCTCCTTTAAGCTATTATTATAAGGTACTTGGTCACAGTGCTGAAGAGCTGACTAATACAGTGGTAATATCATTTTTTTTTTTTTGGTACCGGGGATCGAACTCGGGACCTTGCATTTTCAAGGCAGGCGCAGGAACCACTGAGCTAAATCCCCGGCCCAGTAATAACATTCTTATATTAGGAGATTCTGTCTTTTCTCACCAAGTAAATTCCAGAAAATGGATGAGAGAAAGCACAAGTCATTTATTTTTATAGCTCTGAGAGAGGATGAGGCTGGAGTAAATGTAGTGATGTAAGAGAACTTTTGGTCATCCTCATTTAAATGCAACCACCTGAAATAATGGCCTAGGAATATTAAATGTAAACCTGAGTTCATGGACCTTTTCTCAGCCTGTGGAGAGAATCGTCAACAAAATTCTCACTGTTAATACATGAATGCCAAATGTTTTAGTCCAAAACAAACATAGAATTTCAGCAAGATATTTAAAAGTTAGGAATTAGGCTAGTGAAAAGGGATTTTGGTAATCAAGGACAATATTAGTGTGGTGCTGCCACAAAGATTTTTGCTTCTTGCATAGTATTATGATTGCATGGTAATCTTACCTAGCTAGTGTTTTCTTAATGTCCTCAGGAGTCTGATCATTGTAAATTACCTGTGACATCTCATTAATCCTCTTTTTCCTCACAAACGCATAATTAATGGTAACATTGACAATAATACACAAATTAGCTAAGTGACGCTTTATGGTGTTGGTTTTGATTAACGTCAGGGACCCAAAAATGACATTAATGTAATGCAGATCCCAAAAGGCCCGCTGCACTTTGACCCCAGACATACATTTTGTTTGCACCATCACCAAGATTAATCCTCCTCTGGATGAAGACGAGACAAAACTCTGGCCACTGGCAGTGTGTGCTGGTCTGTTGGAAAACAAACCACTTCAATTGCATTTGTTTAAGAAGGAAATCTTAATGCATAGAAAACAACAGTGTAGTGTCATTTCCTATTGTCTAGTTAGGACAAAGATAAATGAGCAACTGTCATGATTTAGATCAACTGCTTCCCTGCTAACTTCTACTATTTGTTTATTTATGGACCAGTGTTTAATTAAAAGTATACCACCTAGATATATGAATCATACAATAAAATGATTGAAATTCCTTCTGCTTTCACTGTAAATGGTTTTTGGAAACCAAAACTGGTTTTTATATGCATTTCACCCTGCAGGACCTCTACATGATAAATTCTTATTAACCATAAGAGGATAAAGAATCAATGCCTGAGAAAATATTCTTTGTCTCTGATGAGTAACAAAGTGAAAACATAAGCAGGTATTTAAATAAAGTAAACTTCTTTGCTTCAGAAGTGAAGCATCTCTGCGGACTGTGAAAAACCTGACTCAGAAACATTTTTTTCAAATTAAAAGAGATACAAACACATTAAGTAAGTTACAGTATCATCTATTGCTGTGTCACCAACTTCTAAATTCAGGGTTAACCATGTGACTTTAATCACAGTCGTGAACAATTCCTTAATCACAATTTTCACAAATCCAGTAGAGGTTTGAATCTTTTTCACACCCTAAAGAGCTACAGTATGCTAATTTTTTTAAAGATGCAAGCTTCAAAATGATTATTTATAGTAGAAACTCCCTAATGGTGTACATTTTTAAAATATAATGATTGTAGTCCCACTCCTGATTAATTTGACATCTATTTATTTAGACTATTTTTCAAAATGTTGCTACTAAAGCATAGTCCTCCCTAATGATCATATTCTACTTCAATAATAGAGTAGGGAAAAAAGCCATATTTTCTTGCTTTGTTCTATTATTCACATAAATAACTACAATTTTGAGACTGCTTTATGGACAAAACTATATAACATATAAAGTGATACTTTAAAATTTGAAATAAATCCACCAAAGCCAGAAAATAAAGATCACCAAAATTTTAAAACATTGTATGTCTATTTGATTGTTTAAAAAGAAAATATTTATAAAAAGGAAAAAAATATACCTTAAAAGAAGATTTTAGTTGCTGTGGGCATACATTTTCAAGTACAGTACCCCAAATTCCCTCCCCACCCCCCAAAAAATAAGAAAACAGACTGCCTCACAACTGCTTGCTATAGCAGTTTAATTTTGAAAAATGCCTCATCTGTCCCTGCTTGCAATATATTTGTCTTCTGAGCAGGTTTAGTCCTTTTTCTTCTTCTTTTTCTTTTGATTTACTCAGTTACAAGGAGCAAACCAAGCCATTCAAGAGGATTTTCTTTTTCTCTCATTTAATTATTATTTGAAAGTCACAATCAGCTCATTTTTAGATTGACATACTAAGTGTTAGCTGTACCAACTTTCACAACCACACAAACTCGCTCATTGTAAAGCAAACTGGGATTTAAGGGGCAGTGGGGATTTCTCCAGAGGTCATATTTTTGCTATGCCTAACTAAACCATAAATCCAGATTACAACAATAAATTATTTTTTATTATTTTGGCAGGGATAAGTACAAGTAGGATTTTGAAAGATATCTGGGCTTAATTCATATATTAAATAGGCCCAAATAAACCAATGCTAGAAGAAATTAAAACTGACCCTATCTTAAATAGAAACCCAAATTAGGCATTCAACCACCACACTAATTAGTCACTAATAAATTTACCACAGAAAAACATTTCCTTTGCATTGCAAAACTAAAGAAATAGGATGACTGAAAGTTTCAAATTAAAAAAAGAGAATTCTGACAAGCTTTTAATCAGAAGTATTGTTTATAATGTGGCTTTAAGGTAGTTGTAATAACTAACGTCTTTAGTTAAAAAACACTCATCAAGCTATAAAACTTTCTTAGTTGACTCTTCTGTAGCAAAGTAAAACCTCCTAAAATGCTTCAATTTATATTTTTTAGCAGTTACGATGAATATGATTACTATTAGTCCCAGTATATCATTTTGACTTTGCAGTTTACTCAAGTTCTCTGAGAGTAATCTATGAAGCCACAATTTTACAGAAATCTCTTTGCAGTTTACAGTGTGGTACACTGACTTTTCCAAAGACCCCAAAGTTGTGCTGGGGTACTTTTTTGTTGTTCTAAGGAATTATTTCATGCAAATAAAGAGACTGCTATGTGGGAAAGCATGTTTTCTTAACTACTTAATCAGACATTTCCACACCACAACACTTAGTAAACATGCATTTACCTTGAAAATATAATCTTATCAGGGGTGGTTAGTGTAAAATTCTCGTCTGTTTTCTTACCTTTGAATTTGAGCTCTATTTATAAGGCTCAACTAAATGATGTTTGACTCCTAGGCATTTCCTTGCTAGGGAGTTTTGCATGAGCACGACTCATATGGAGACACACAGCGTGTGAGCAGAGTGTCAATTTAGTTTCCTGTACAGTGAGTGTAACCTTATCAAAGTGCTCCTTTTACATAAAAGAAACTGATGCGCAAATGTGGTTAAGTATGTATCTGTTTTTCTCTTCCTAATATTTTCTTTCTGCTTTGTCTTTTCAGAATAAACAAGAGGGATGGCTTCTTCTGTCCTGATTTGTATATGCCAGTGAAAGGGGGTCCCCTTCACCCTGGAAGCACTGGTCTTCCTCTCTTCCCATGGAACAAACTGCTAAAGAAACTTGGTTTAGACAGAATGCAAATGTTTAATCCCTGCAACTATATTTTAAATTATAACTTTTTTTCATAAAGCTATGTGTGGTGACATATTTCATAACATTACACAAGATCTTCCATGCAGTTTTTATTCATGGAAGGATGGTTTGCAGAAAATCACAACATTGTACTAGACTTCTCCAGCAAGTTAATTTTCACTTTAATGTGAATATACAATTTATGAGAAAAAATAATAGTTATTTAGGCATAGCAGTACTTACCTGTCGCTGTGTGAAAATCCCTACCATCAATATGCTTTTACTTCAGTTACTATTAGTAGACTGCATTAGTGTCTGATGGTTTTAATAAACAAAACCTCTGAATTTGCATTTTGGGTCAAGGCTTTATAATTTAGACAAACAAGAAGGAAGCAGCATGACATGCAGTCCAAGAGAACCATTCTTACACATGCCTCAACTTTGGTTTTTCGTAACTACCCTTTGGAGACTCTCCTTTATTAACAATCTTAATGAGTGTTCTGCCTATATTTTTCTACCAAGAATGTCAAATAAGGTTCGAAAGCAAATGTAAACTGTAATGCAAGTGACACACACTAAAAATAGCCCTATAAATTTGTTCATTTTGTTTAGATAGTTTCCAGGTTGTAAAAAGTAGGACTGCTCAGCTTTATTATTTGTTTTGGAAAAACTAATTCGGTAGAGAATAAGCCACTGATAATGCTATATTACTTTGGAGGAAATTTATTAAGACTGTTTCTAGATTTTACTTTTTTTAACAAGGATTTAATCTTTTTTTTTTAACAAGATTTAACTTTTTTTAACTGTTCGTATTTCCAAGTAATCTACAAGATAATGAACTGAATGAAACCTATAATGGCACAAAAAAGAGAGAGAAATTTTCTTTGAGTCATTAAAATTAAGATCTTGAAAGAGTTGTATTTATCTAAAATGTAATTAATTAAAATTTAAAACAGAATCTTCATTCATATTAACCTGTCAAATATGTTGCTTCCAATGCTTCCAGTAACAAGGCAACAATATTTATTATCTTACATGCCATGAGGTTTTAAAAATAACTCTGCGAGAACATTTTTAGAACATTTACAATCTGAATAGACAACTAAAAAAATTAGACATTTCTCTGTGAAAAACAGCTGCTTTAAAGTACAACATTTGATGGGAAATATATTTTTAGAAAACCATGAAATTTGAAGTTGGGCAATGGAGAGCTATTGAAAGGGCGAGCGTGGGCTCTATCGTTTGTTAAGGAGGTTTGGAAAAATGGCTTCTCTTGAGAAAAAGTTTAGGTTTAAGCCCCTCCTTTCCCTTTCTTCATAAGAGTCAAAAAGGATTTTTTGGATTGGTTGAATGACTTTGCACTTAAGCCAAGATGGATGGCAATGTAGGGCTTTGTTTTTGATATCTTCTCCCAGTAGAGACATGTATAAACAGACAAAATGGCGACACTGGGCAGTAATCTGACCTCTTGGAAGAAAGACAGTTTAAAAACTACATCAAATTCTCTTTAGAGAAATAGGAATATTGTCATTTAACAGAACCTTAGAGCTTAGTTCTTTTTCTTCCGCACTGCACACTTGAAATACTAAGAAGTAGAAGTTTCCAAGGCCATAGGCCTCCTTCTCACCCCCAGCTCCTCAAACCTCTTTCTCCTGAGTTCAGAAAGAAAATAGTGTTGCTATTCATGTGATAATTGTCAAAACCACGACAAGTGCCAAATAGGACAGTGCCAAGAAATCATTAGTTCAGTGTACATCTCAGATTTCTGTAATGTTCAATTAATGGGCTAGATTTCATCAGAGCTTTTTTCTTGTAAATTCTTTATGCTTTTAGGCATCTTTTAGAAGAATTGTGTAAGCCAAGTTTATAGTAATTCTTTATTAGTTCAGATTAATTTTTCTAAAAAACTGAAATATTACCTTCGACAAATTTATACATTGTTTTCATTGCAAACAACATTAAATGACCAATTCAGAAAACTAAACTGCTATACTGAAAAAAAATTTACTAGAGTTAAACATTGTACCTCAAGCATATAACCATGGGAGAAAAAATAACAAAGTTGCTTTTAAGTTTAAAAGAAATTCTGATTCATAAAAAAAGATAACATAAGAAAAAATAAAAAAATTTTAAAAAGATAACATAAGAAAAATTTAACATTAAAAAGATCATCCTCATAAATGTTGATGCAAGTCTTTTATATAAATAAGTAACATCTAATGCTTCAGCTATGCACAGTGCCATTGTATTTTTAAATATTTCATAGAAATATGTCATCATAGAAAGAGCAAA